TTTAAGTGAGTATTAGAAGACAGCAATGGTAATATAAGTGCAAAAATTAGAGGAGTAAGCAAGCATTCACAATTAAATATTGATTATTGCCCTATAAATTAAGAAAAATCTTCAATAGCAATATATTGTGAATCCCTAATAAAGAGCATATCATTCCCTTTGCATTCAGCAATGACTTGCCTGAAACCTTCCTGATCATCTTCTCCAGCTCATCTGTAAGGATGGAGAGATCAGATGAAAGAGAGGAGCTTATTAGGCGAGAGGGTGACAGCACACTTGGTATGCATGAGAACGGCGAGAGTAACCTTTTATCAATCAGCTTTCATCACTGACCAGCCCTATTGAGGGAACACGAAGCAGGTGGTCAGCAACATTTTTCCTTTTTTTTATTTTACCGGCTTATTGCTGCAGCAGCTAAACCTCTGAAGCCCCTGCTTTTATGATGCTTAGATTGATTTAGTTAAACGCAATACCATCTCTCATTTACTCTGACCATAGACAGGCAGGTCATTTAGCTGTATGCTGTCAATAGTGTCCTTTCAATAAATAGTGAATATCTGGTACCGCTAAAAGGGCTTGAGAAGTTTTGGCTGCCGAAATGCTCTGGCATCCCTCTTTCCTTTAATACACACGGCCTCTCCGGGTCTCCATTGTATTTAAACATGTTCCGGCACAGCGCTTTAGATAAATCGTTCTGTCTCTCTCAGGAACACTGACTTCCAGGCTTGTATTGATGTGGAACAGACAGTGAAAGTTCTCAGGCTTTTCAGTGCGCTGAGGGATGGGAGGGAGGGGGAGGAAGAATGGTGTAGAGAGGCATTTAGCGTTTCACCCCAAAGGCACTCGAAATTCTCGCCCGGTCTTTGAGGTGTCGGGCACAAATAGTCCTGCGAAAAGGGGCAGATGGGAGAGCGATTGGAGGGACACTCGGTTTGGCAGTCTGGCTGGTGGGTGGGACTTTCAGAGATGAAATGTTGCATAAATAATGCCAGAGGGGGGCGCTGGGTCCTCTGTTGCCATGGAGACCTTTGTGGCTGACTGAGCCAGTGTTGTGCGCGAGGCGCTTGGAAGCTGCGGCTGGCAGACCGGCCGCGCCTGTAATGAGTTGAGGAATTTCTCTAATGGGAAGAGCTAAGTGGAAGGATGGTCGACGGGTTGGCTTTACACTGATCTCTGCGACCAGTTGCTCAGGTGTGTGGTGTGAGACGAGGTACGGCTATTTTGTCCTGATTTGTGCCGGGAAAGGAAGGAAGAAAATGTTTGTGATTTAAAGATTGAGTTTGAAGTTTCTGAACTTTAACTGGATTATATGTATGCTTTGCTAATTAGTGATATCCGGTTAAGATGTTCATGCAAGTTGTTTTTTTCTTTTCCTTTTAGACATCTGTTGTGTTTCTCATTAGGTATGGTATAATACAGCAAAACAACCCTATTCATTGGCGCTAATTCTCATTGATTGGATTTCCAGCCTTACTTATACTGGTTTTTATTGGTAGATTTCAGTCACACTTAACTGTCAGTTCTCATTATGTTATTTTTAAAATTTGAATTATGCATTAGTTTGCATGTAAAGGATTTTCTTGCAGTTATTTTCTTTTAACTCTGATCAACAGGTGCTGCTGGTTTATCTTCATTATTAGTGGTTTGCGACAATAATTCACCTTGTTTGATAGTGTTACTGCTCCAGAATATCTGATCAGAGGATTAATATATTAACATCTGAATTATTTTTAATGAACTTTTTTCCAAGACGTTTGAGTTCCCCTAAGAAATTTTGCCCTCGCAAAGTTTCTTAGGGGAACTCAAAGTTTCTCTGAGAATTTGCTTGCACAACTTTCTCTGTCTCAAGACGTTTGCGTTCTCTCAGAAAGCTTCAGAGAGAAAGAGAGAGAGTGCAAAAGTTGAACGAGTGAAAGCAAAGTTTGTCAAGGCAATGCAAAATGTTTACGAGAAAAATGCAAAAGCGCAGCATTATTTATAAGTCTTCCTCTTATTTTTATCCTCTTAAGAATTTTTTTTCATCACCATGTCATTTTAATGCTTTGTATATTTGTGAATGTTTTTCATTGATGATGCAAAACACAGAGTTTCTAATTGATTGATTAATACAGCCAGATTGAACTGATTTAAGCTAATGAACAAACTACCAACTCAACTGTTTTTGAATTTTAAATAAGAGACATAAGACATAACAATGTCTCTGTGCTTATATACCCGCATGTAATGTGACGGGAGGGAAAGCAAAACTAATTTTATGACACAATCTTTAGAAAGCATAGTTGCCAAGTGTTGCACATTACAATCGTAGCAATATTCACAATGTTGCTTTATCGCCGATAAAATGTATTGTTATTATTCAATATATTGCTCAGACTAATCTGAAAAGAGCTCTGTTAAATGGAGAGCACATCCATGCAAAGGCATCTTTCTTTGGATTTAATTACTTACAGTAGGGTGTATCTCTCTGTGGGCAGGATACATTCCACAGTCCATATCCTCTTTTAATGTGTCAGTGTCCTGAACTGCACAAATGTGAGAAGCGAAAAATCTGATGGGAGAAGTGTGAATGGTGTGAGAAAGAGAGAGTTGAGAGAGCAAGACGGAGAGGAAAGCAGTTTAATTTATTGCACTTCTGTGGTTTGCTGGCTTGTTTGTTGGCTTAGAGCTGGTTGGTTGTGATTAAGTGCGGATGAAGAGGGGTGTTTTGGAATTGAAAATGGATAAAAATGGATAAATTGTTGTTTTGGTGTCTGGAAATAGGGCCTGGCTGGACACACCATCATTTGATTCAGTCCACAAATGGCTTTCAGAGCTGGATCAATAAACTCTCCAATTGTACAACCCTCGTATGCATGTGGTTACGGATCAGACCCCCATCGACCCTCCTGCCCAGCTGTAATTAAAACAGGTACCGGTGACAAGAACTCCTGCTGTGGAGCGTCTGATTGTTTTCTGAGTTCGAATTTTATCTCCATTTCCCTGTTCTGGACTGTTTCTCAACCCTGATGTGCTGGAATAAAAACACTTTGGGGTCTCGTGCAGGTCTTTTGTCCTTCTCTTAAGGCTTCTCGTTGGAGGAAACACTGTTTCCTGGTGCCGGGCTTCAGGCTCTAATCTTGGCTGCCTGGAGGGGGCAGCTTGGGGCTGGCTGTCTAAGTGATTATATGTGCCGTCCGGTTATGGAATAGGCCTTTATTGGTGCTGATGGTGCACTTTCTGTCCCAGCTGGGGCGTTAGTGGTGATTATCATCTCTCAGGGCCAGCCGGAGGTCTGCCTGTTTGATTTATAGCTGGCGGGCACACTGCTCCACAAATTCTACAGAAGTTTCTCTATGGGACGAGAGTTTAATCTAATCTAAAATAAGTTTGTAACTCAATATAATTATAGGAGAGAACAAAATGTGCCCTCTATAGGAATTTTTTTAATGACATATTGAATGTAATTAGTGGTTCTTGCTTTAGGCTTTATTGGATTAGGCATATGAACAAACCTCTAACTCTAAGTACTAGTGTGTTACCTCAGATTGTCCAGAAGAAGATATTTTACTTTTCTAAATGATCAGATGTACAATTTTTACCTAGTGGATAATAAAACAGACAAACAGATCCCATAGACCTACATTGAAGGAGGAACGTGAGCCAAATCTAGAGACCCGAATGGATTAAACAACATGCTGAAACGTCTTGATTCTGATTATTCTTGATTCAATTAGATTCTGATCTCAATTTGATTCGATATGAGTTCATTTGAATCGATTCATTCACTATATCAGGTACAGTACATGTTAATTTTTCTAAAGGAAACAAATCTCTCTCAACTGAAGATGTAAAATAAATAGGGAATCCTGTCAGTTGGTACATTACTATAATATTAAAGGTTAATATTAACAACGGAGTCCAAACTATTAAATTCAGTTGCTGTTTATTGTTAGATATAATAATCAAAACTCAAAAAACACTCAAGTTTTCTTTCCAAACAAACATTTAAATTGCGCATGAGGCTGTTTTTATATTTAATATTAAATATGGTTCTACTCCAGTACATTGTTGATATATAAACATATAAATGGTGACTTTGATAAAAACTTTTTTTCATGAAAGATTTATTCAAAAATATATTAAATAATACTAACAGATTAAGTAAAATATAATGAATATGCAATATATTGTATATATTTAGCAAAATACTTTCCTGAGGTAAATGTAACATTTATGTGACATTGTTTACATACAAGCTCTTTATTGCCATCTTTCCGTGGTTGAAAACACTGATTGAGCAATTACTTGAGACATGATACATTTGAGTAAGTTTTGTTGTTTATTTCAAAATACCTTCTAATGTTCATTCATGTTTATTTCACTTGAACTGAGGCGACTACAACGATCTGTCACACCACATTAAAGAACGTTAAAACAACATTTATTGTTCGAGTTCCCTGAGAATTTGAAATCTGAGACTGTTTCTTATGAAAATTAACAAAAAACAAGCTTAATGTGATTATTGAATGGCAAGCACACTACAAATAATGTTTAGTGAAGTTTTGTTCATGCATCAACAGACAACAAAATAGACTAAAAGACTTAAAGACTTAAAAGACTTAAGGATTTAAGAATCGATATCAATATTGTTAAAATAAAGATTAATCAATATTATCCATCCAGCCCAACCAACAACTATGATAGCAAAATGCAAAAACAGTAAGAACACATTAGAAGCCACATTAGAAAATGCATAGCAACACGGTAAAACACTCAGAGCACATTAACAAACACATAAGAACGCTTTAGCATACCAATAGCAACTTTTGCACAATTAAATACCACTTATATTTTTCTCAGAAAATGGACAACATTAGTTCAGCTGTTACTGTCAGCTGTGTACAGTTTTAATAAGAATGTTGTATTTCAGTAATCTTCACATGTTTGTAGTACAAGCGATGTAGAGTAATGGCGCTTAAGGAAATTTGTTAACTGACCATCTCTCTTTCTCTTTTTCTCAGGAACTGCAGTTTGAAAGATTAACTCGAGAGCTGGAGGCGGAACGTCAGATAGTGGCTACTCAGCTGGAGCGATGCAAACTGGGATCTGAGACAGGTGGCAGCATGAGCAGTATCAGGTAATGCTAATGCACTGTGTGGGAGTGTGCAGGGGCTATCTAATGCTTCAACAAGTCTGTATAATGAGACCATGCTGCCTGAAGGATGTAATTGTATGGTTAAAGAAACTCTGACAATATTCTTGACTTCTTTGTGCAGGGGTCAGAGTGGAGTTCATGCAATTTCAGCTCATAATGTGATTTACATACAGCACCGGGAATTTGTATATGAAAGAGAGAGTGTACATGAGTGCGTGGGTCCACATGTTGGTGGATTTCCATCTGCGGATCTAAATGCTAATGTTTTTGTCTAGATGTGTACATGTGATTCTGTCACATGAGGTCTCATGGGTTAAATATGTGTGTGTGCATTTGTGAATTGAGATACTTTGTACTTTCTTTAAAAAAAATGCATGCATAAATTAATCTAAGGGGAACCAGTTTCCTCTTAAGTGACTGTCACATTAGCTTCCTCAACATTCAATAGCAATTAACATCATTTAGCTTTAGTTAACATTCCTCACACTTGTTAATTATGTGCATCTCTTGGAGGCTTGACCTTCCAGGAATCTGGTGTTGAGAGTTTCTTGGTTTTATTGAAAGAGGAAGGGAAGCGAAACAGTGGAGGATGAAGATGTTTGACTGTTGAGAATTTCACATCAGTAGGACAATGTGTGCATGTAACTGTGCAAAACTAAGAGAAGGTAACTTGTCCTTAATTTTTACCACACATTTTTACTCCCTATTCACAATGTCTTTTATGAAAGGAATCAGTCTTTATCCGGTCCGAAGAAACGGCAGGGCAAGAAAGAAATGAAGTCCTGCTGCGCTCAGAGCCTCAAGGTTTCCATTGAGAGCTTGTGCGGGAAGGAAGCCATGATGTTACTCTGCTACATAATATTGATTTAGCCTTTTAATTTGCCATAAGTGAACCGTTCCACAATAGCTGATTCAGATTTTCGTTCAGCTGATCGTTCCAGAGGCCTTCTGTGAAAAACACTTATTCAAACCTGCTCTCTCATGGTGTTGCTCTGTTTGTGGTTTAGGTTACGATTGACTTGTCCACAATAAATGCAATTCTTAATCAGTAGCGCTTTCTATGAAGCTGTGCTGTGCTCGAGTCCTCCTGCGATATTCCTACCTACGCGAGGAAACCGTAATCATGACGGTTGGTCAAAATGAAAATCTGTCTTCTCATATACAAGCTACATATACAAGTCAGTAGGCATTAAGAAAATGAAGCCTTTTTGGATTATATTTTCATGACCTTTCTGTATTTTTTTTTTTCTCCTGCATTTTTACCATCATGTGTCTGGATGTTTTAATTTCATCCCTTCACTCCCACCCCCAGTGTTTATTTTCCTTTTATTGCGGAATATTTTACAGTATTTTATTAAATAAATCAGGATAAATTAAATGCAGCACAACAAATATTATTTAATTACTTTAGCATTATTTTTGTATTATATTACAAAAAACTCTGTATTGTATATTTAAAAAATCTTATACAAAAACTTTTACGGTCCCACAAATACACCTCATTCATTTATTATGATTTATTTTGTTAGATTCACCCAATAATCATTTTACATAAATAATAGTAACCACTGCTAGTAACCTTTATTAAAAAAAAAAAAAAACAGTATATTGCATGTTTAGTACCAAATTTTGTGTATTACGTATCATTCTGTTTAATGCATATTAACATGGCTACAATTATTTATGAAATGATAACAGACAGTATGTTAAATGTCATTATGAATGCTTTTATATTCCATATATAAACAGCAAGTGTTACGGTTTTGTCTTCAATCTTTAGTTGTGTGTGTATATGATGTGTATGTGTTTCTTCCATCTGGTACATATTGTTGGGTTTGATATTTGAGCCAGAGAGACACGAAGCCAGTGTCTGCTAGCAATGACTTATCAGTCTGACAGTTTGACAGTAGACTATTACAGTAGACTGGCCTTGATTGTCAAATGAGTCTCCTGGGAATTCTGGGTAGAGTTGATAAAGAGGCTCTCGGCTCACAGGGAAGGTGCATGCTTGCATTGACACATCGAAAAAGCCAAAAAAAAAGTACAGTTCAAGTTGTGGTAGACTGACAGTTTGGAAGCCCGAACAGACTGGAGATGCTATTACAGTAGACTGGCCTTGATTGTCAAATGAGTCTCCTGGGAATTCTGGGTAGAGTTGATAAAGAGGCTCTCGGCTCACAGGGAAGGTGCATGCTTGCATTGACACATCGAAAAAGCCAAAAAAAAAGTACAGTTCAAGTTGTGGTAGACTGAACCCTGAGTAGTTTCTGGATGGACTTTAAGATGGTTATTTTCTGAGCGTGAACTAATCTGAAATGTGTCTGCTAAAATTTTCATAGAGCGTAAAAATGCAAATGAGACATTTTCAACTGTAAACATGGCACACATGTCTTGTATAATTGGAAGCCTCATGGCCAAAAACCAATTTAAACCGGGTGCACATTTAATTTCTCTTTTTGCTTGTGTTTTTCTATGTTTTCAGTGGCATCACACAGAGTTGAGTAAATATTGAGCGTGATTCATGTGTGTTAATGTGTTACTGCTGTAAATCCAGTCACTCTCTGGCACTGAATCTGTCTGGTTCACTGCTGTCTGGAACACGTCCTACCCAATAATGTGATTACACACAAACACAGACCCAGTCACTTTTCCTCCTTCTGTAACTGAATCTGTCTGGTTCACTGCTGTCTGGAACACGTCCTACCCAATAACGTGATTACACACAAACACAGACCCAGTCACTTTTCCTCCTTCTGTGGTGTCATGTTTTCCTCTATTTTGGTTTGGTGGGAAGTTGATGTGTTTTTAACAGGCTCACAGGTAAATTTCATTAAACGTTCAGCACACGTCTATCACGGCTATCTCATCTCTTTCAGGTCGGATGGTAAAATATTCTGAGTGAATAACCTTTAGTCTTTATTCTGTCAGGAGACATCGCTTCCGTTTGACAGTCAATCTCCTGATGCTGAGCGTTTGGAAATAACTTTAAGGAGAGATAGCAGACATCAGGAAGTGAGATAGGCCTGCTTCTCTCAATCAACTGCTGCTTCCCATCAGCTCTCCATTCGGGCATTTTCGACAGACCCCAACTACATTTATATAGTAGGTACCTTTACATGTTTGACTCGAAGATCCTCCACATTCTAGACAATATTTAAAGCCCCAATACGATATTCTGTACTTCTGATGTAAAGCCATCTTTTTATCTGTCATAGGCATATTTATAGAACACATCATTTTCGGGAATCTTAGGCATGTTCTAAATAAATATGTGTGAGACTAGCCAACATTAAACACATTTATGACACACAAGAATGCTGTCTAGGTAGGCATCTCAAAATTTTAAAATTTGCCTTGGTTTACCCTGGATCTTAAAGATGTCTTCATTCAAAACGGGCATCACTTGGATTAGTTGTTTGACTGCTTTCAGTATTAGAATTTGGGTAATTTATAGTGCACAGATGTTAGTATGGAGAAGATATGAACATCCTCAATATTAATATTAAATGTTGCATATGTGTGTTGATGCAGTGGCTCTGTGTCTATAGCCCCCTTTCCTTTCTTTCTCTTCCTCCATCTTTTTTTCTCAGTGCCTGGGGAACAGCAGGCAGTGTTTAGTGAAAGGTCATCGCTGAATAACATGTCTGACTGTGTGTTCTCTATGTGGCCGATTCCCCCAAAGGTCTCAGCTCTCTGTGCATTTCCATTTTTCACCCAAAATTCCTCTCACTCACTGCATATTAAAGTCAGCTGGAGGCTTTCAGACAAATGTAAATCTGTGTGCTTTAAGGTGCAGAGATCATTAATTACTCACCCTCATGTCGTTTCAAACCCGTAAGTCCTTCGTTCATCTTCGGAACACAAATTAAGATATTTTTGATGGAATCTGAGAGCTGTCTGACCCTGCATAGACAGCAACGCAACTGAAATGTTCCCAAGTCCAGAAACGTAGCAAGGAGATCTGTAAAATAATCCATGTGACATCAGGGGTTCAACCATAATTTTATGAAGCTACAAGAATAATTTTTGTGCGCAAAAGAAAAAAACAACAACTTTATTGTTGAATAAATAACGACTTTATTCAACAATTCGTCACCCTGTAGCGCCATTTTGGAGAGTATCCAGAGACGAATTGTTAAATAAAGTCGTTATTTTTTGTCTCTTTTGTGCACAAAAATTATTCTCGTAGCTTCGTAAAATTATGGTTGAACCCCTGATGTCACATGGATTATTTTACAGATCTCCTTGCTACGTTTCTGGACTTGGGAACATTTCAGTTGCGTTGCTGTCTATCCATCAAAAATATCTTAATTTGTGTTCCGAAGATGAACGAAGGTCTTACGGGTTTGAAACAACATGAGGGTGAGTAATGAATGACAGAATTTTCATTTTTGGGTGAACTAACCCTTTAAGGCCTGTTTCCACCTCAAAGTTAAAAGTACAACACGTAATTGTCAAATCGATTTAACATAAGAAATAGTTGCAAATGTGAAAAATAGTCACAGTTGTGAGGGGGAAAAAAAGTCACTGATTTTGAATTGTGAGATTTAACATCATAAATATATGAAATGGAGTCATGGTTTGGTGAAATTCACATACATTGTGACACTGTAAAGGTACAGTTTACTTGCTTACTAATGGATCCTCTGCAGTGAATGGATACCGTCAGAATATGAGTCCAAACAGTTGAGATCACAGTCTTGTGAAGTGAAAAGCTGTGTGTTTGTACAAAACAAATCCATCATTAAAGCATTTTAACCTTCAACTGTTGCTTCTGGCCAAAATACCAATCCATAATCCATAATAATGCTTCCTCCAGTCCATCCCCTGTTGTCCTCTCAGATCACTGGCATATTTGTTTAGAACTGTTTTGGACTGTTTTCACTTGTAAATGCTGTTTGATCTGTGCATATTTCTCTCCTGATTCAGACAAGACTATCTTTTTATTGGAGAAAGCAATATCATGGGTATAGGGGTTTGAAGTTAAAAATGTCTTGATGGATTTGTTGATTACAAACATGCAGCTTTTCACTTCATAATATGTTAATTGATGGACTGGTGTTGTGTGGATTATTGTGATGTTTTTACCAGTGTTATGGAATTTTGAAAGTTATCACTTTAAATGGTGAGAAATAAAGACTCTGAAAGCAACTGTATCTAAGAAACAGAAGATTTATTCTTGCAAGAAGGTCAAACAGTCATACAGTGCATCTGCAGAGTGTGTGAAAAAAGACAATCCTTCGTCCAAATCTTTTATGCTCCAAACCAGTGGTTTTAAATTACAGTCCTCGTGACCTCCCCGCTCATGGCCACAATTTAACTACAACATAGAAACAGATTCTTAATATGTGGCCACAATATTCTATTATTTTCTTGCACGTGTCATGTGCGGGGCTTTATAATAAACTCAATTACCTTTTTTATAGAGATCACCTTGGTCTGTGTACATTTGCAGAGACTATCCATTAGTATGAAGACAACCAGCTTAATTTCTCAATGTGCAAAGAAGCACTTAATATTATCTTTTTACAAACTCACACCAGAAAGCTTTTATATTTATAGAAGCGGTTACCTTTGCATTAATGAAGCTCTT